CTTTCAATCATCAGATGCACTCTCTACACACTATGCCCTCACCTTCTAACAAAATTGCCAAGACCCTGGGCCCCTGCCTGCTCTTGACTCTCTGTGGCTGTAAGTGGCTCTGTTATATCTCTAACTGCTCACCCATGAGGCCTCTGGGATGTCCTGATATGTACACGGTATCCCCCAGCTCTCTGTAACAGAACCTATAGGACATTGTTGCATACTCTTGAGGCCTTGACTCAGAGGACAGTGAGGTCTGTGGGCTATGGAAGACTTGGAATCATTTCTCCTGCTGCCAGTTCTTAAACCAAGCTAATCATCGCCACTGCTTCTTTTGGGGGCTTTTTTCTCAGGCTCCTCAGGCATAGTCCTCAACAGTCCCAGTCCCTCCTGGGTGTCTTCCCAGTTCTCCATTGATAGCTTATACTCTGCTGTTGAGACTTCTGGTTGCTTTTATTATTTACGAGGCAGGGAGTCTAAGTGTGGTAGGTGCCCAGACCCAGGGTTCTACCACAGGTGAGACAGATCTGGCAGCTTTTTCTGCAGGCTTTTTATAGCTACTCAACTTCCTTTGTGCCTTACCTTCTCACGGTACCAGATTCCTGAAGGCAACAGTCAAACCCTCTCATCTCACTTCCTGCTGGAGGACTCAGTTCAGTGGAGATGAGTTTGTTCTTAAAGGCAGTTCAGCCTTCACCCTCTTGTGAACTGAGTGTGAATTCACCAGCTCAGAGGTCCATGGGCATCTGTCTTAGACACAGTGGCAGCATTGTTGAGGCTGCTCTGTCCCAGGTAGAGTAAGAGAATCTCAGACTGCCCTCAAAGGACATTGGAAACACGTCTTTGGCTACTGGGAGCCACCAGCCAGGGCAGGGATAATGAGAAGCAGTCCTAGGAAAGATAGAAATGGAGAACACCTCTAGGAAAGCAGGGATTTGTCTGATGGGCCATACTACCTGCCTTGGGAATTTGGAAAGATGCTATGGTCTTTTGGAAGGATCCCGGGCCTCTTCCCAATCCCATCTTTATCATTCTTGGGTTGGGTCTCTGGGGCAAGACTTCCACCTCCTCCTAGCTTCAGACCTCTCTGTGAACACAGGTCACCCTGCCGCCTGTTTGACAGGGAAGGTGATGCAAAGCAGAACTGCCCAGGGCACCAAGGATGCTGAGTGCCTGGGCAGCTGGACCACGTCTAGTATTTCTCTTTCCTGAGACTCTGTCCACCCCCCAGAACTATAAATGGGAGATGAGCTTTCAGGGTCAGATACAAAAATGGTGTAGCCTCAACCCACTAGACCCCACATTCTATATTTACCTTCCAAAGTAGGGCCTGGGTTCCAGAGAGGAGGAAAGCTGCATTTAAATGCTGGTTTCTCTCCTGGGCATGTAGCCACCAGGCTTCCTGAATGATAGGGGAACTATTGGCTTACCTCATTGCCTGGGAGGAGAAGCTGGATCCGGGAATGTGGCTGCCATGACATTCTTTGCCTCTGGACATCTTGGGCAGGTCTCTCCACCCCACTCTCCGAAGACTCAGAACACGCGAAGTGAACAGGAAGCTCCTGCTTTCCTCTAGAGGCTCTCGGCAGGGTCTCTAAAGATTTTTGCAAATTCTTTACAGATTATGGAATGGCAGCTTGGAGCCTTGACAAATCAGTGACAGCAGAGGGAAACTGTGTCACACACCTCCTTGGAGGGACCATCTCCAGAGCCAGCTACTCAAGCTTAGGTAATGGCTTTAGGCCTCAGCCAAGGAGGAGTAGGCATGCAGCCTGGGATGCCAGTGGAGGCTCCCTGTGCCTGTAGCTGGCCCCTTACCATCCATTTTCCAGGGTATCCCTTACTGTTCAACTCCATAGTCTGTGCCCTGCTCTGCCCCCGCAAACACATCAGGAGCAGGGGTAGCACGTGGCTGGTGCAGTAGACAGGGTTCTGAGCCTCCTGTCCACCCACCTCTTTGGTCTGCTTTGATTCTCCGTCCTGAGGACTCCGGGCCCTGTGCCTACCCTGTGATTCCAAAGCTCATTAGTAAACTGGATGCTTTCTGTTGGATAGTTGGAAGACCTGTTAATGCATCGCGTCTGTGTTTGTCTTTTCCCAAAGGCCCTAAGCCAGGAAGTTTCACAGAAAAAAATATTTATCTCTAGAGTCTAGTGAGACTTGGCTTAGAGAAAAAGGTGCCATCAGCAAATAAGTTTGAGAAGCGCTGCACATGATGCCTCTTGTCTTGCGGGCTCATAATCAGAGCCCTGGCACTGCCTGCCTCCCCTCTTACCACTGCAGATGTAGCGCTGTGTCAAGATCTCTGAGAAATCCCATAGTAGAGAGAGCAGCTTGGATTTGTTTCTCAAAAATGGCGTAGGTCTGAGACCTGGCATGCTTGGTAACCGGGGGGTGGTCTCTACCACGCAGTCTGTTTTAGAGAGAAAGAAAGTATAGAGGGAAGAGAGTGAGAGCCAAAGATGTCTACCTTTTCTTTATTGGTCTAATGGGCACAAGGAAGAAGGGAGCTCTTGATGCCTTACCTAATACTAGGTTGTGGGAACCAGCCCTCCAGGAAGTCTGGATGCTCTTTGGGAGACATTGTACTCAATGGCTGGGCACTGCCTTTGGTTCTTGGGGATCTGCAGACTGTGCCACACATGGTGACGGAGAGGGACACTAGCAAGGGAGGCATGGTGAGTGTAGAAGAGATAAAGGATGTGTGTGGCAAAAGGAAGTCCTAAGACCTGGGGGTGGGGTGGGGTGTAAAACCAGGTCTAGGAGGTCACGGGTGGCCTCTTATGACACTGTAAATTCAGTGTCGATTGGCAAGGGCTGGGAAATGGGGAGCTTTCTGTGCAGAAGGAACAGTGCATGCAAATGACCGGAGTCAAGAGGTGCTCCTGGCTCCACGTCACAGACCTTCAGATGAAGGCAGTTTAAACAATAAGGAAGTGGACTGGCCTCCACAACCAGAGATGTTGCTTATTGTCATGCTTAGTGGACACTGACTCTGGCCAACCCCATCACCTGAGCTCCACTGACCACAACATCAGCTTCATCTTCACCTTCATCAAGGTGGCCTCCCCTTGAATCATGGGCTACTAGCAGTGAGTTTTTCTCCAAGCCTAGCAAGGGAGTGAGAACCAGACAGACAATTTCCTCTTTCCTCAAGTCTTAATGGGCCAATTTGGATCACTAACCACCCTGAACCAATCATTGCCATTGCCATTGGGGAGTGTCTAGCTCTGACTGACTTAGTCTGAGTTCTTGAGAAAACATCCAAAAAGGACTGGTAAGGGGAGGGAGACCTGTGCTTGACTTACACCACAACTTGGCAAACTTTTTCCATAAAGGGTCAGGTCATAAATGTTTTAGGCTTTCTGGGCCCAAAATACAGCCTCAGTTATAACCTCCTAACTGCCACTGTAGCAGCAAAGCAGCCATAGAGCATACATAAATGAATGAGGGTGGCTGTGTTCCAGTCAGCTTTTAGTAATAGATATTAATATTTTAATTTGATAATTCCTTTGCAGCAAAATAATCTCCTTTCGATTTTTTTTGCAACCATTAAGAAATGTAAGAAAAATGGGGCTGGGTGATGGCCTAGCTGGTAAAGTACCCTCTGTGAAAGCATCAGTTTGGATCCATGTAAAAAACCAGGCTGAATACTGCATGTGTCCAACCCAGAGCAGTTGGAGGTGGATCTCTCAACTCACTGACTGGCCAGCCTAGCTGACCTGATGAACTCCAGGTTCAGTGAGATACCTTATCTTAAAAATTAAGTGGAAGAGTAATCAAAGAAGACACCCAATGTCAACCTCTGGTGCACGCACATACACACACACACACACACACACACACACACACACAGACACACACAGACACACACACAGATGAACATGTACACTTACATGCAACATAAACATGTAAATAAAGAAAATAGAAAGCTAAATAAAAAGTAAAAATAATGAACATTTTAAAAGAGAAATATAAAAGCCATTCTCAGTTCCTAGATCATGCCCTTCCAGCTCACCCTCACACACAGACTAGAGGAGGCTTGATCTGGCCCATGGACCATAGTTTGCTGACTCCCTGACTTAGACAAATCAGGATTCTATCCTGGAGCGAAGGTTTCGTCTCTATACCATGTTGTCGTTGCATACTGAAGAACGGGGTAGAGTGGATGGGAAGTCAACCTCAGACTCTTCCTTTGTGAGTCTGGTGCTTGCAGGGCTCTGCAGAGGATTTTGTAGTGGGCAGCACAGCCGATGTCCGTTCAGTGTCCATGGACAGGAGCTACCACCCATTCATAGGCAGAGTTCTTCCTGTCTGAGCAGCGCTGTGGCTCCCACCCAACTTGACCAACATACCATCCGAAAGATGAATCCTTCAAGATGGTGGCAGTGCCTGGGGAATTTCCTTCTCTCCTCTAGGCTAACACTAAGCCCTTGCATTTGAGCAGGGGCTTCCTGGTAAGGTAGCTCCCACTTTTCTTGCGAGACCCAAAGGAGTTCCTGCAATTAGTCAGCTAGTCAGTAAGTAGTCGTTGAAACACTGACTAGGTTTGCAGCCCCTCTGGGTGCTGTAGGGAAGCAGAAGGAGTAGAATGAGCCTCCTTTATAGGGAAGGTATGGCATGCAAAGCAAACACCTACAAATCTTCCCAAATCCCGCAGCGAGGGGCTTCCCCAGGTGGCAGTGGCATGATGAAATGACTTCAGCTCCCAGCACCTGCTTACGCCACATCGTCAAAGTTAACGAAAACTGACCCCTCAGCAAAACTGGGAAGTCAACGGAAGTTCAGCCTCTGGCTGCAGCCGTCCCTTCAGAAGCTGTGCTCCCTCTTTTAGTAGGGCTAGATAGATAACCTATTTCTCAGGGTCATCATCACATCAGGCTCTGTCTCCTCTTTGACCTTGCTCTGTCCATTACAAGGGTCTGCCATTGGCCTGCTCCACTAAGACTGGTTGACAGAGTAGGCTTTCTTTTGAGTAGATCTCAGGTGTAGTTTTTCTCATACTCTCTGTGCGTTCTTCTGGCCTCTGTCCACTTGCACCATTTATACATTGAAAGGCTTTGTCTTGAGAGAACTGCTAACTATGGTCTAAGTAGTGGGTCTCCTCAAAATGTGTATGTTGGGATCTAATCACGAGTGTGACAGTACTAAGAAAAGTAGGGCCTCTGGGGAGTGACTAGCTCACAAAGACTTTGCCACATGGCATAAGTAACCTTATTACAGGGGCCCAGAGAATGCCTTGACCCTTATACCATGTGAGGCCACAGCAAGAATGAACAATTTAAGAACCTGAAAGCCAAAGCCCCTCCCCCCAACTGCTAAATCTGCTGTCTCTTCATCTAGGACTTCCAAACTTTAACTGTTCTTTGATATATAGTTAATATATGCTATTTTAAAGGGGGAATATGCTACACTGAAAGTTGATTCTTTAAAAGATTTGTGTGTGTGTGTGTGTGTGTGTGTGTGTGTGTATGTATGTATGAATGTTTACCTACATGAATGGACACTCTGTGTATGCCTGCAGAGGCCAGAAGAAGGCTTTAGATGCCCCCGAACTGGTGTTACAGGTGGCTGTGAGCTGCCATGTGGGTGCTGGGAATCAAATCCGGGTCCATTACAAGAGCAAGAAGTGCTCTTAGTTGCTGAGCCAACCAAAGCCCTGGAAATTCATTTTTTTAAAAAGGGAGAAGTTGCTCTGTAATACTGCCCCCCCCCATAGAAGTCGTTTGGGGATTACGTAATGAGGAAAAGCGAGAAGAGTTTTGAGGCATGTGCTAGAAAAAGCTTGAACTCCTGTGAAGACTGTCAGTGCTGATCCTGGGGAGGGAAAAAACAGAGAACTCCAGAGAAAGCCTCAGACTTCTCAGCAGATAGCTCAGGGGTCCTGAGAGTTCATAGAAATGAGGGTAGGCGAGGCTGTTCTTTACTCACAGGAGGACGAAGAAAGATGCCATTGGACTGCAGAGTAAAGGCCATCCTGTGGGGAAAGTGGCAAGGAACTTTGCTGAGTCAGGCTCACTTCCTTGTGCTATTTGGAAGCGAGAAATTGAGACTTGAGTAGTGGGTATTTGGCTGAGGACATTCCTAAGCCAAGTGCTGAAGTACAGCGTGGCTGTGTGTGTGTGTCTGTGTGTGTCTGTGTGTGTGTGTGTCTGTGTGTGTGTGTCTGTGTTTAGAGGATGTGAGAAGAGATAAGTGACTTCCAGTTCTACTTGTTAATAATGGGAAGGAATTCAGCCTATGACTTTGTGCATTGTGACGAATGTGAACGCATTGGGGAGCGAATGAAGATGTAGCCAGGTGCCTGTTGGCTAAGAGGACTGGGTACTTCAGAAGTCTCAGGGCCCCCTGACCCCATTGTTCAAGACTATAGGAACATTCTGGTGGCTTTCTGGGGACATTCAGAGCTGTTCATCCTATTCAGGCCCAGATTTCCAGAGCTTGAGGGACAGCACGATCTCAAAAGAGGGGAAGTGAGCACCTGTATGAGCTTGGAACTTGAGATTTAGTGGCACCTCAAAGGTCTCCTCTGCATGTTCTTTGCTGCCCAGCCATGGCTCTGATGAGCCCTGTTAGAGCGAGTACTTTATCCCCAAACTCTGTGTGTATCAGGAGGCTTCCTCTACCTGTATTTAATAGGATGTCAACGAGAGCTGCTGAGTCCATGCTGAAAACTGCAGGGCCACCAGGGAGAGCACTGGAGAGGAAGGTTCAGAGGAACCAAGAGGCAGGCCATTCCACAGGACAGCGGACTCTAGAGCCACTACCGTCAAACTCCAGACTAGCCTGTGTCTTCTGTGACTTCTCTGCTGGCCAGTGGAGCGGCCCTGCTCTCCAGAACCTGCTGTTAGGTTGAGAATCTGGACACGAAGCTGTTACCAGGCACTCAGGTTCATACCTTAGCTTCTCTGTATCCCAAAAACAATTAGGAAACAGTAATTTGGGAAAGAAGTGATTTTTCTTCACAGTTTGACCAAATAGAGGCAAGAAGGAATCAGTTTCTTCTCTGCTGGGTCCATGATAGTCTTTCAGTATACAGAAAACTGTGAGACTCTCTGTGGCCATTCCACCCTGAACAACCAGATCTCAGGCTTGGAAGCTAAGCAGGGCCAGACCCGGTTAATACTTGGATGGGAGAAAACCATGAAACAGAAGCCAGAAGACACACAGATTTACCCATGACATGGGAACCAGGGAAAGATAGCCCCAGTGGTCCAATCTGTTGTAGAGTTTTTATTCATATCCAGATGTGAGGAAAACGGGGTAGACGTTCCATCTCAAAGATCCCCCAGTTTTGAAAGAGAAAAGTGTCAAGGGTTTTATAGAATGGTGGGTGTAAGATGTCCCTTTGTGGGCCTGGCAGCTCTCTTTGAGCCTTTTGTATATCTTTCCATTGGAGACCAGCTTCAAGCTGGGGCACCCGCATACCTCTTAAACACACCCATTTTGCTAGGGGAAGGGAGGGACAGGGTCTCACTTCAGAGTTTAGAAAAGCTCCTCTGTCCTGCCTCCTGCCTTCCCAGCATGCACTCACAGTCATGGCTTCCCCTCCAAGCTGAGGGAGATGACAGAGCTAAGGGGGTGAACCTACCTGAAAAGCTGGCTGAGGTCTGGTAGCATATGTCCTGAGGCTCGGCCAAGCTATAGTCTTGATTCTTCTCTTTCTCAATCCATGTGACTTGGGTAAACTAAGGCCTGTTCTCCCCCCCAGACCCCCCTCCCCATCCTTCAGAGCTCACAAGGCTCACATTTGTGTCTAATGACATGGTGACTTTGGAAATGCTTTGTAAAGCATAAGACGTAGCCGTGAGGACAGGTACTGGTTGAGGTGCTTCCTATATACATGGAACAAAGGGAAAGAGAGTTGAAAGTGTACTGATAGGG